GAGGCCCAAACGCGCCCAGAGATCGGCATCCTCACCTGAGGGCGCCTCAAACTTGCGGCAGTAAAATCCTGATACGACTGGTTCGCAATCTGAAATGAAAACGATGGAGCCTGTGGTCATCCAGACTGCCAAGAGCAAAGCACGCAACTCGCCACGAGCAACTATCTGCCTGGGCACCGCTAGCGGGCCTCGGACAGTCGAGGCTAATTGCAGCTGGGGCTCTAGGGCATGCATGAACACCACAGCGACACCTACGCGTCGGAAGAGCGGGCTAGCAGTGTCAGGCCCCCCGCTCGCGTCTCCAAAGGCGAAAAGCGGCGCCTGCTCAGATCCGCCAGCGACGCAGCCCTCGACGATCGTCTCCCCGAGCAGCTCCTCCGTGCCAACCCAGGCCTCAACATCACACGGCGGCGGCACCTCCGTCCAGGGCGCTGGCATGAGGCCACGGAGCCAGAAGCCCTGATCGGCCTCGCCTTGCGCGAGGGCCTGAGGAATCAGGTCGTTCGACTCGATGTACGCTGCCTGCTCGACGTTGCGTTCGCATAACCATATTCGATGCATCATATTTTCTGGAGCTTTCCGACATCGTGGGCAATCAACGGCACCTGCGTACTTGCTCAACTCGTCCTTCTTGCGCTGTCGAGGCCAACAACCTCCCACTGCGCAGGCCAGCATGACCTCCGACAACCGTTGGCCATACTCTGGGACCGCGGCCAGCTGCTGCAGCAAGATCTGGTAAGATGTGCAGTCGACGCCCTGGCTCAGGCCGGCCCCGCAGAAGTGCTGGCTCGCCTTCTGCCACAAGTCGTGCTTCAAGGTCTGCTTGAAATCCGTCATGAAGCCCTGGTGCGAGTCCAGCGCAGCAATGCCCGAGTACATCTCGTCGTCGAACTTCCACGTGTCCCCAGCGGCTGGATGACTATCAGGAAGGTCCCACGACGTGGCCTGCTGCGGGTCCCAGCCCGCCTCCATCAAGTGCAGGACGGTGGCCGTGAGGGGGCCCCTCACGTGGCGCACTCGCTGCGCCGCTGGGAGCGCCTGCATGTGCTTGTAGACGCTGTCCCACGCCTGCCGCACACCTGCCCGCAAGTCGGGCTGCTCCCTCCAGGTCCGCAGCCACAAATCCAGCGTCTCAGCTGGCAGCTTGATCGCTGGATCAAGGTCCCCAGCGCGCAGAGCCAGCAGCGTGGTCAGGCAGCGACCGCGCGTGGGCGCCGCCAGCGCCTGACCCAGGCGTCGCCGAGCCAGCGTCAACCTGGCGCCAAAGGTGCCATAGGCTTGGTGCCCATACACCCCTCCGCCTGCGCCCCCTGCTTCTCGAGCCTCCCCGTGACCCGATACTTCTTCGATACGAACGCATACCGACGCACCTTGCCACTCATGGCCTTGTGCTTGGCGTCCCTCTTGACCCTCGTCTCACGAGCAATCCGTTTGCCCCCGCCCATGTCGACCCCCAAGTCGGTGGCCTGCTTGACGGGTTGCACAGAGTAGCCTGCACGGGCCACACGCCTGGCCACCCTCTGGGCGTCCTGAAACGACGAGCAGATGATAACTGATTTAGAAGCGACCTTCAACTGCTTGGCTCTCAGCTCCTCGCACGTGTCGATAACACAAGCCGCCAAATCCCTTCGCACAGCAGCGCGCGAGCCTCGAGCCGACTGCGACAGGTCGTCGATCCAGATGCGCTGCCCCATTCTCGGGTGAGCGACTGTGATGACCTCCAGCACGTAATGGGTCATGGCCTTGGCGAAGCGTGTTCCAGCCCTGAGGCCTTGAACCGCACTCCGCGAGGGCTGAAAGGCCCGCGTCGCTGCCCCAAGCTGGCTCAGCGTGCGAGCTGCGACACACTGCAGCAGCTCCAGGTACAGCACTTGCGGCGGGAACTCGAGCGCCAGCGCACAGGAGACCAGCGGTGCCCACTCGATGGAGTCGTAAAACGACTGGATGTCCACGAGGGCCTCGCCAGTGGCCACCCCAAGGTGATGAGACACCTCCTGCTGCAGCACCCGCACGAAAGCCTCACGGAGGCTCGAATTCCCCCTGACAGCTGCGTCCCAATGGGTCCAGCCACGGAGCGCCGCGCGCCCCGCCCTGCGGCCCCTCGCCGCCCGGACGGCAGGGGGGCAGACGGGGCCGCTGGCCCCTGTCGGGGGTGGACAGACCTCCTTACAACGACGCGAAGATCGGGACAACATCGGATCGGGATAACTCGAAATCTCTGAGAATCGGCGGGTTTGGAGGATGTATTGGGCGCCGCGGCCGCTCCAGAGCGTTCCGGAACGCTCTGAGAGCGCTCCAGAACGCTCTGGAGCGATTTTTCCCGATCCTAGCCCTGTTTTACTTGTCGGGGGTGGACAGACCTCCTACCCTGACACGTCGATTAGTGAGTTGGCTGTTTTCGGTTCGCGAGAGGGCGTCGCGGCGTTCGTTTCGCGGTACCAGGTCCGTTCGGTTTTCGGTCCCAGGCCGTTTTCAATTTTTTTTCTACTTAGCTTTTTTTAGTGTCGTGATACTCTTTTGTTTTTTTGTTCATACGTGCTCCTTTTTTGAGGGAGTTGTTCTTTCTTTTGAAGGATGGTTTACTAAAGGGAGGTTTGTCCACCGCCGACCCTGGGCTGGGGCCCGGCAGCAGCGACGCGAGGGCAGACCGACCGTCTGTGGGATGCACCGCGCGCGTTCCACGACTCGCAACATGCCTGCTCGCAGGCGTCCGAGGAGCCACGCCTTCCTCCTCGTGGAGTGCGCCGCAGCTCCCCCGCGGCGGACCCAGGCCATCTGCGAGTAGTTACTCTGCGAGTAGCGGAACGCGCTTGTCCAATGATGCCTCTGCCGGCTGCGTCCGCAGCCACAGCGATCGGCGCAGAGAGGTGCCCCCAGCGGTGGTTGCCCCCTCTGGGCGTGGCCCCCCCCCGCCGCCAGGAAGGCCCGTCGGGGTGGAGGCCCAGCGACGCGACGAGGGAAAGAGGGGACAGCACCGCCTGGTTCGGGAAACAGCGTGCGTGGTCAAGGAGGGGAGCAGGGCAGGGTGTGGTGGAGTGGAGAGACGACGGACGGCGAGAGAAGCACAATGGTGACCAAAGGTTTTGAACCCATGTGAGGAGTCCTCAGCAGCTGAGCAAAAGACGAAGGCAAGAGCAGTACAGAGAAGACGCGACAGGGAGAGGAAGAAAAGGAGCCGCCGCTCCTGATTTTGTATGTGTCACAGACTTGCTATGATTCGGTGGTTGGCTTGTTTCTCCGAGGCGCGAGCAGATAGATACTGGTGGATTTGCCGCCCTCCAGAAGCCGTCCAAACCAGCAGTGGCAGCCGCGGCGAGTGAAGTGATCTGAAATCATTAGTTTGGTTGCGTGCGTGCGTGCGTGCGCGTGCGCGTGAGTGCCTGTGTATGTAATTGTTCAGTTTTTCATTTCTGAAGAGTAACTGTTGTTCATCCCCCAGCCAGGTGCCCAGTGTGTTTTTCAATTGAATAGCTCCTCCCAGGGCTCGCACCCTGTTTGTTTTACACTGGACAAATTTTGGGCTTGGAATGCGTTGTTGGTATCCGAACTACGAGAACACCGGCTCCCGCCTGCTACTTCCTTACACTGTAGTTCAAGTTCGCGCTCTCGCGCGGGACTTCGGCAGAATGTGTGCAGGAATCATGCTCTTGCGTGGTACAGGTATTGCATTTTTTTTTGAAACGCTGCGCCCTCGACACTCATGACTCAGGCTCTCGCTCTGACGTGCCTGATGTACTTGGGAATCGCGCTATCGCTTGAGACTTCCTCGCGATCCATGCAGGACTCACGCTTCAGCAGCCCGCCTGCTCGACCTGGCCGCCCGGGCCCGCCTTCCCGACCCGCCCGCTAGGGTCTACCCGCCCGATCTGCTCCCAGTCCCCCTCCTACTAATTTCTCGCGTGCTCTATCCTTCTTCCTCTTCCGTGTCCCTCATCCGTCCTCTCTTCCCCTGTCTCGGGGCTGCATCATCTACACGTGGCAGGTAAAGAACATATGCCCCTTAATGGGGGTACGATCGAAGACGCAGAGCACGGGTATGACCCCGCGGCCAGGGCCAGACCAAACCGCGGCCAGGACCCACGACCATGTCGACGGCCGCCTTCCCAGACTTACCAGCAGTCCGAACAGAAGGTTTGGATATGGTTTCCGCGGCGGTGGCGGGGCCGCGCTCTTGACATCTTGGCCGGTTGGCCGCGCCTCATACGCGGCGCCACCTAGGCCGCGCAGAGCGCACCTCGTAGATTGCACCAGGTAGATTGCATCGCGTAGCTGGGGAAAAACAACCGCCCATCTCGAATGCGTGTTGAAGCGGGTCCAACACGCCGGCCCCGCTTGCAAAGTTCGGGGCGGTCGACGCGGGGGAGTGCGAGTCGGTTCGAAGAGAAACAAAAACGCTCGCATTTGCAAACCGCAGCCTGCTCTCTTAGATAATTATTGAAATTGGGGGCGCGGGGTGCGCTCTTGCGCCATCTTCTAGGCGTTGTACTTGGGCGTTTTTTGCTGCTGTTGTTGTTTTCCGATAGCGCCGGCATGTCCCTCCTTCGTTCCCGTCTGTGTGCTTCTCTCTCCGTCGTGATCTTGCTGATTCCTGGATGTTTTCTTGCCTACTTTTGGGGGTTCGTTTGGTTGATGCGGTGGGTCTTGCATGCATTCGCCGTACGTTTAGAAAGGGTTGGGACCGTCGCCGGGTAAATAGTCGCAGTGCCTAACGGACCGCGCGCGTCGGCCGATTGCGCTCGATTTCGGGAGGGGAGTGCGACAAGAGTGGACCTTGCCACGGCTGGAACTTCCAAAATCCCATCTTCGAGAGCACGAGCAGGAAGCCTGAATCACCTTCACCGCTCAATCTCCTTCCCCGCCTCCCGCCCCACACGCCCGCGCACCCCCGCCGTCCCTCCTCCTTGGCTCAAAGCTGCGTGTTTTGTGTTTCCAGGTGCAGCTTCGACACGCAACGCCAGACAGGGGACGCTTACCTTTGTGACTGACGATATCCCCTCTCAATGGCGGAGAGGTTTTCGCGTAAATCCAGCGACAACGCGATCACATATCAGGACAAGGCCATCAAACATTTCTTTATGAGAGTATTGCTGGCAAGCGCGCTGGTAACCTTTATACTCGTTGTGCACACTGTCCTCAACAGCTTGCGAACTGGAACTTGGTTTGCAATCGCATACGTGAAGTTGGCGGCTCTGCTACTTTTCATATTGATGCTAGTGCTCGGTGAACGGATTTGGGGTATGAGCCGGACCTTCAAGGTGATGGTCGCATCTGGGATGTTTTGCATGTGCATTATCATTGCATTGTTATCGAGACCTACAGATCATTGGCATTTGTTCGGCATCTTGGTTCTGGATTTCGTCATCATTATGCAGACTGATGAGGACGAGGTAGCATTGCAAACATTGTCCATCGTATTGTTCCTGGGATATGTGGCGTACGTATTTCTCCACACGTTTTCTTCGGCTGGCTTATGCCCGCATATTCACCTGGTCAAGCACGGCAGCGAATCCGATGTGGAGAGCCAGCTTTTCTGCGGCATCATCCCTGTTCTGTTGAATGTGTTGTTGATCATGTCCTACGCACGGGACCTTCGTCGAGAGTCGAAGCGCGTCAGGAGTTCTGCGAGGACGGTTGCCACGATCGCCGAGGCCCTCAACAGTTTTGATATTGAGAGAGCGCAGCTCTTGTTGTCAGAGAGATCCGAGGACGAGGATGTGGCCTCGGTGTGCCACCAGCTGGAGCAGCTGATCTGCAACCTGCAGACGCACCGGCCTTTCTTACCAAATTATCTGTTCCCGCAGAACAGTGGAAGCGACAGCGACCCCACTGGCGGGGCCATCGCGACGGCGATGTGGGGCCATCCCACGTTTTGGGACAACGCAGCGTCGGCGGCCACGAGACTGCGAGACCCAGAATATACCTTGAACGAGTTTCACTCAGACGTGGAAGCTGCATTCCCCGAGCTGAAGCTCTACAATGTTGGGTCAACGTGCTCCTCTGGGCGCACATGCTCAGAGGAGTATCAGCGCACACTAGGAGCACTATATTCAGTGTATTGCATCTCCCGCATTGACATTGATGGGAAAGAAATATTATCCTTCGGCGTCGACAGGCATGGAAAGCCAGCGGTGAAAGTCGCACGTGAATGGACGTCGCCAAATCCGATGGGATCCCCACGATTAGATTGCGACCCGACCGACCCGAGACACGTGTTTTACAAGTCAATGGACTGGGACCGAATGTTGGATCTTTTTGTTCGGGCTGGCCTCCTCCGCAGTGGTGGCAACGATAGATCCACTTCCGACTCGGGCACAGCTGTGTCTAGCATTCTGCCTTCCAGTACGAGCCGTCAGGTAGGCAAGCGCCGATACAGCAAGACTCCGATCGTTGTCGACCACGAGCGCATGACGGCGTTCCTCGCGCTGACAGCGTTCCATGACGTTATGAAGAATTCGAGTTTGTTGCCGAATGTCCAAGGTCAGCACGCGCCGTACAATGGGCTCTCCGAAGGCGATCGGGTGCACGACCACGACCTCGCGCTCAGGTACATCATGGAGCACTTTCCCGGCCTGCTGCCCAGCTTCAACGGCTTGGGGCCAGCCCAGCGTGCCGTCGTCTTCTTCACGCAGGCCAAGATGGGGTTCAACAACGGCTGGCTCGTGCAGGGGGAGGCGCCGCCAGGCGCCCTCTTCTCCAAGTTCAAGGAGGTCATCTAGCGGAGCGAAGAGTGGCATAAGCATAAGAACTCGGAGGTCCGCGCGGACTTCCGAGTTTTTATGTTTATGCTATGCCTCGGGCCGGACGAAAGAGGGGGATTGGGAAAGGGGGGGGGTGCGAACTTTGCTGCATGCAGCTGGTTTCGGCCCCACGGATGGGCCCATTCTTCGATACATAGCCGCCCCCGGCGCCGGGAACATCAGCTACGTGAGCTGATTCTCAACCCCCCCTTTGCTATCCCCCCCTTTTGCCCGACCCGATATGCCATTCTTCGCTCCCCTGCCATCACCTTGGGAGGGGCGTCGGATTCCGACATCAGCTTCTACTTCGCGCACTGGCTCACGGACCTGGCAGGGGCCG